GAGGTCGTCGCCCCGACGCGCGCTCGCCTGGGCCTCCCCGATCGCTCCCCCCCCCTCGCGTGAGCTGCCCAGCGGTAGCGCCGATGACGGCCGCGTCGGGGCGGCTGACCGATCATGTACCGCCAGCGTCGACGTCGCCAAGAGAGAGAGAGAGCTGCCAGACTTTCATCCTCTTCTTCCCAGTGCTGTCTTACGCCACTTTCTTGCAGGCTTCGCCAGCGGTAACAGGGCATGCGGCATATGAGCCAAAAGGAGCCGAAAGGAGGAGGAGGAAAGGAGGAGGAGGAGGAGGAGGAGGAGGAGGAGGAGGAGGAGTAATAATAATAATAACGCTACAATCGCAGGATTCAGGTTTGGCCAACGTAATGAAAAGGAAGACGAGGAGGAAGAGGAGGAAGAGGAGGAGGAGGAGGAAGAAGACGGAGGCAGCCAGAGTAGGAGTAGGAGGAGGAGGAGGAGGAGGAAGACGGAAGCAGCAGGAGGAGGAAGAGGAGGGAGGAGGAGGAGGAGGAGGAGGAGGAGGAGGAGGAGGAGGAGGAGGAGGAGGAGGAGGAGGAGGAGAAAGAGGAGGCAGCAGCAGCAGCAGCAGGAGGAGGAGGACGGAGGAGGCAGGAGGAGGAGGAGGAGGGGGGGGGGCGGGGTGGCAGCAGGAGGGGACCATGATGCGGCGGCGGCGGGCGAGGCACGAGGCCAGCCTCGCCACCGCCCCGCTTCGGCGGCCCCACCCAGCCGGCGAGCGCCCCCGCCGCTCGCCGAGCCTCGCCGAGCCTCGCCGAGCGCCCCCGCGGCGACGTCTCGGCGGCTGGAGCCTCGACGACCCGCCCCCCCCCCCCGAGACCGGGACGCTGCAAATGTTCCACGCTTTGGCGTTTTCGGGAGCAGCCCCCATCGGAGGCCGTCTTTGATGGGCAGATTTGCCACCACCGCTGCCGTAGGCAGGACGGGGGAGAAGGGTTGACGGGGAGGGGCTGCGTCGAACGATGTACTGCGCCTTCTGCGTGAGCGCGGTTTCCTACCTCTGCCTGCTGCTCCTATGTCTCTCGCGCAGCCGCCGACGTGCGATGGGGGTCATGTGGCATGTGGGCTCCCAGGCTCTGACAGGCGACATACTTCTCGACGGCTCGTTGTTCGTTGACTACCCTGAGCGAGGAGTGGCGGCGTGGGCTGTAGTTGCGTTTGCGGCGAACAGCGACTCTGTCGTGCGCGCTGTCACAGGGCTGCTCCCGTCGCCGCTCCAGGATATAGATGGTGCCGAGCTGCATGCGCTGCTCGCCGCCCTCCGCTTTACTGCGCTGCTTTTTGCATTGCGTGCGGAGTCGGATCTCGCGCGGAAAGGCATTCGCGCGCGTGGCCCCGAAGGGGCCATTCACGCCTCAGCTGCTTGGGCTTGCCTGTGGAAGCAGGCATGGCACATGTTCGACGACGGGGGTTCTCCACCAGAGGTTCTCGAGAGGTCAAGAAAGTCAAGGCCCACGTGTCTGAGACTGCCGTGGAGGAAAGGAGGTGCAGCAGGAGGGCGAAGGAGGGGGGTGATGCGGCTGGCAAGTCTGCCAAGTGTCGTGCGCAAGAGCTGAGGTCCCTGGGCCAATTTTGAAGCTCGCCAGCACGCAGAAGAAGATGGTGGGATTGACTGGGAGGTGGATTGCCCGTGCTGGTGAGTCCGTTGCGAATGCTGGCTGGCTGCGCCGTCAGCGCTCTAGCCTCTCAGCCCCCTTTCTAATGATTGTCAAGCCAGAGCCCCCCCGCCGCGAGCAAAGGATCCTTGAGGCCCAAGCGTCGCTCAGTGCCGAGGGTCTGAGGAGTCATCAGGTTGGGTTGTTTGTTGCTGCTGGAAAGCACGTTTTCTGCTGCATGAGTTGCGCCGCATTCACCACCTCGAGGTTGGTGTCAGTGGCTGCCGAATGCAAGTCTCTTCGCCTGTCTAAAAATCGTCGGTTGATTCTCGATCGCCTCAGACTGGGAGACTTCAGGCTAGACGTCTGGCATCGTGTTTCAGGGCATCGCCAGCTCGCTTTGCCGACCCAAGTTGGCCTGCCCACACCACCCTGCCCTGCGACGATGAGTGTCTGACCTCGTCGCAGGCAGTTTTGCTCGGGCGCGGTGTCCGAGATGTTGGAGCCAAAAGGCGGTTGCAAGGTGTTCCGATTGTGTCGACGGTGGACAGACGCTGTCCGCCGCTTGGGCTGTGCCCGGGCAGAGGAGGTGGAGGAGGAGGAGGAGGAGGAGGAGGAGGAGGAGGAAAACGAGGAGGAGAAGGAAGACAAGGAGGAAGACGAGGAGGAAGAGGATGAGGAGGAGGAGGAGGAAGAGGAGGAGGAGGAGGAGGAGGAGGAGAGAAGGAGGAGCCTCAACGACACTTTTGCACACTAGCCACCGTCCGAGCGCGCCCCCGTTTCGGACGCTCGCGCGAGGCGAGCCCGCACCCCCACCGGGCTTGGCCGCCTGCCGGCGTGGCCACGGCGCGGTCCTGTGGTCCCGTGCGGGGGTGGTGGCGGGCAGCGGGGCTCTTTCCCCCTCCCAGACACCCTCGAATCACGAACCAAATCACGACGGAATGTTTCTGGCAACGTTCGGCTTCTCAGGGCCCTTGCTGGGCTTCGGGGGCGTCAACAAACGACGCTGGACGGAACGCCGGTCCTGGGGAGTGGGTCGAGACCTCTGGGCGTGGACGCTATTACCAAATCATGACGTCGGGGGTGTTCCCCCCGCTCCGCTCCCCTGTCAAGGGCTCTGTCGGGAGGGCTTGGCTCGTGTTGTGATGTATCGACCACCGCTCTCCCACTCATTGCCGAGAGGGACCCGACACAGCTCGCCCCGCCCAGAAACGCGTGGTTTTGCCATCGGGGGCCTGGTCGTCGATACCCCCTGATCCGGTCGTCGACGTTCCACCCCCTGATCCGGTCCCTCATTCACTCGGCCACGCGCAGAGGGGTTAGGGGGAGGGGGGAAGGCTCCTTAGAAGCACCCCTGCTTCTCAGAAGGCGCAGGCCTTGTCTGTGGATGTGAGGCTGGCGCCTTCTGAGAACCAGCCTCCTTCTGAGTAGCCTTCCGTCCTCTCCCTGCCAAATTTCACCGCCCATCAAAATCACCCCAACTCAACCCGAAGGCCCCGATTTGCCGTCAATTTCTAGTGAGGGAGCGCCGGGGAACATTGAAAGAACACGTGTGGAACCCGTACCCCCCCACACCCCGAGATTTGGGTCTTTGGATTCGGTTGGGGCGGCCTGGTGGTAGTCACCCTTGTGCGCGCCGCCAGCTCACGCTCCCTGGTTCTGGTTTGGCCCCCCAGTTGGCGAGGAAAACACCTCTCTCGGAAGAGCGAGCGAGGAAGGCAGGACGAGGGGCGAGGGGCAGGAGGAGGAGGAGGAGGAGGAGGAGGAGGAGGAAGACGAGGACAAGAGGCTAGGGGCGAGGGGCAGGAGGAGGAGGAGGAGGAGGAGGAGGAGGAGGACGAGGAGGAGGAGGAGGAGGAGGACAACAGGCTAGGGGCGAGGGGCAGGAGGAGGAGGAGGAGGAGGAAGAGGAGGAAGGAGGAGGAGGAGGAGGTCGAGGAGGAGGAGGAGGCAAGGGGCGAGGGGCAGGAGGAGGAGGAGGGAGGAGGAGGAGGAGGAGGAGGAGGACGAGGCACTCACCCGGTGGCGAGGTCATCGACCGCAACTTCTACCCCGTGCCCGAGGCCCGGCGCTCCAACATGCGGCACCGCCCGGTGGGCCTCGGGGTGCAGGCCGCGCGCGCGCACGCCCCGGGCGCGGGGGGGGAGGGAGGGGGGAGGGGGAGGGGGAGGGGGAGGGGGGGAGGGGAGGGGAGGGGGAGGCGAGGGGGAGGGGGAGGGGGAGCGAGGAGGGGAGGAGGAGGCGAGGAGGCCTCGGGGGAGAGGGAGGGGAGGAGGGGAGGGGAGGGGGGCGGCTCGAGGGGAGGGGGAGGGGAGGGAGAGGTGGAGGGCGAGGGGGAGGGGAGCGAGCGAGGGGAGGGGAGCGATGGGAGGGGCCACGAGCGGCGCACACGTCCGCGTCCGCGCCCTCGCGGCCCGAATTTCTGGGGCGCGGTCCCGCGGTCACCTTCCGCGCCGGGCATCCGCGAGAAGGCGCCCCGTGCCTGCGGGGCCGCGGCCCAGGGGCCGGGCCCGCGAGGACGCGGACACAGATAGGCGTTTTCACTCACCACGGAGTTGGTCGGCGGTGGACAAACCTCCCTTCAGTAGACCACCCTTCAGTGAAGGCGGCCTAGGACCGAAACCGACGGACCTGAACCCGCACAAATGACGGCCGCGACGCCCTCTCGCGAACCAGAAACGGCCACGTCGCGAAGCGACGCGTCAGGGTATGAGGTTTGTCAACCTCCACGTTAGGAGAGGGGGAGGGAGGGGATGGGGAAGGAGTGAGTGAGGGGCTGACGTAGAAACCAGGGACCTGACCTCCATGCCCCGGGGCTCCCCTGAGTGTGACAGGGGGGGCGGGAGCCCACTCGGGTTCCCTCACAGCCGGGAGGGGAGGCCGCGGGAGGAGGGGGGAGTGGGAAGGTGTGAGCGGGGGACGACCACGACGACGAGTATGACGACGAGCATGACGATGACACGACGACGAAGACGACGACGATGAGTATGATGGCGACGAGTATGATGACGACGAGTACGACAACGACGGCGACGACTAAGACAACGGCGAGGAGGAGGAGGAGGAGATGGTGGTGGTGACGGTGATGGTGATGATGGTGGTGGTGATGTTGGTGGCGATGATGATGGTAAACGCTGATGAGACGATGGTGACGAACACGACGACGATCATGCTGATGATCATGATAATGAGCATGATGATAAACATGATGAAGATGACGGTGCTGGTGATGGTGATTGTGATGGTGGTGGTGATGATGGTGAGGATGAGGATGCGGATGAGGATGATGATGGTGTTGATGATGACGATGTTGATGATTATATAGCTGCTGATGATGAGTGTGCTACTGATGATGATGACGATGCTGCTGCTGATGATGTTGTTGATGATGTTGACGACGACAATGGTGATGATGATGATGGTGATGATGATGGTGATGGTGATGGTGATGGTGATGGTGGTTGTGATCGTGATGGTGATGCTGGTGATTTTGATGATGGTGATGGTGATGGAAATGGCCATGCTGTTGCTGCTGCTGATGATGATGATGATGATGATGATGAGATGGTAGCGATCAGTATGCTGATGGCGATGATAGGCTGGGATGAAGATGATGCTGATGTCGTTGCTGCTGATGATGGTGATGATGATGGTGGTGATGGTGGTGATGGTGATGATGAATATGATGGTGATGATGATGATGGTGATTCTGATCATGATCATGATGATGCTGATGATGATGATGGTGGTGGTGATGATGATGCTGATGATGATGACGATGATGATGATGGTGATGATGTTGATGATGATGATGATGGTGATGATGATGATGATGATGATGATGATGATGATGATGATGATGATGATGATGATGATGATGATGATGATGATGATGATGACGTGATGGTGGTGGTGGTGTTGCTTGTGATGGTGACAATGACGATGGTGGTGATGCCGATTGTGATCCAGCGGCCCAATCCCAGGGGTTGGCGGACGCATTCCTGATCCTGCGAATGCCCTTCGAGAGCGACCAGGCGAGGCGGCTGAACGAGGAGGGCGTGCGCGCTGGCTGGCAGCCTTCTCTGAGGTACGAGGCAGTAGACACGGGTGGACGGGGAGACAGAGAGAGGATGCATGAGGGGTGTTGGGCGGGGGGTCAGGAGGAGGAGGAGGAGGAGGAGGAGACAACAGGAGGAGGAGGACGAGGAAACAAGGGGCGGGAAGAGGAGGAGGAGAAGGAGAAAGAGGAGGAGGAGGGGGGGGAGAGGAGGAGGAGAAGGAGGAGGACGATTGCAAACCCAAGACCCCCCCAACGATGTTGCAATAAAACCTCCCTCCAAGTTGCATCTTCATAGGCCCCTACGAGGACATCATCTTCACTGGGGGAAGTGTCCAGTTGGAAGACAACTGTCTGAGAACCCTGAACCGCGCCAGAACACCATTCCTGTGAATTCAACGCCGCTTATCAACGCTTCTGTTGCGTCCTCACCATCCAGAGTCGTGCCAGAACGCCGTTCTTGGGACGCCATCGCGAACCAACGTAAGTATTGCACCCTGACTGTCCTACATCGTGCCAAAAGAACCACGTCTGGGACGTCAACCATAAGAATCCTCAAACTGCATTAAGCTCTGAAAACGAATGTGCACGGCGCTAAGGCAAGAGCTACATGTTGAAACCAACCTTCCTTCCATTCGTGGAACTCTGAAGGACATCTGTTGAACTGTTATGACGAATGCTCGCGGCGCTAAGGAGCGACATATTGAAACCGACCCTCCTCATTCTGTGAAGTTCTTGCAAATGTGTTTGAAGCGAGTGAGCTCGGCGCTATGGCGAGAGCCACATTTTGAAAACGGCCCGCCCTCAATCCGTGAAGCCCTTGCAGTGTTTGAAGGAATGTGCGCGGCGCTATGGCGAGAGCCACATTTTGAACACCACCCGCCCTCCATACGTGACGCTGTTGCTATTTTTGTTAGCCTCAGGGTCATGAGTACTGAGGAAGTCTCAGGTGAAACGCCTGGCCCGCCCTGCCGACACGTCTCGGGGTGCGACAGGGAGGAATTATTGATCAGGAAAAGGAATGGCAGCTGAAGGGGAGGAGGAGGAGGAGGAGGAGGAGGAGGAGGAGGACGAGTGTAAACCCAAGATTCATCAACGATGTTGGGATAATTCCTTCTTCCTAGCTCCTTCTTCGTAGGCCCCTGAGAGGGTTCATTTCCACTGAGAGAACTGCCTCGTTGGGAGACAACCGTTTGAAGGCCCTGAAGCTTGCCAAAACACCATTCTCGGGAACCCAACGCCACGAGTCAGCATGATTGTTGCGTCTTGGCGATCCAGAACCGTGCCAGAACACCATTCTTGGGACCTCAACACCGCGAATCGACGTAACTGTTGCGCCCTCACAATCCTGAGTCTTCCCGGAACAAGTTCTGGCACTTTGACAGTGGGAATCCGTGAAACTATTGCCGATGTCCAACACGAATGTGCGCGGCGCTGAGGCGAGACCGACATTTTGAAAACGACCCGCCCCGCCCTCAACCCGTGAAACTTTAGCAAACGTTTGAAAATAATGTGCGCGGCGCTAAGGCGAGAGCCACATTTTGAAAACGACCCGCCCTCATTCCGTGAAGTTCTTGCAACTGTTTTAATAGAATGTGAGCGGATCTAAGGCGAGAGCCACATTTTGAAGACCACCCGCCTTCCATTTGTGAAGTTGTTGCCAATGTTTCAGCTTCAGGGTCATAAGTGGTGATGAAGTCCCAGGCGGAACGCCCGGCCCGCCCCTTCGACCAGCTTCGGGGTTGCGACAGGCAGGAGTTCTTCATGAGGGAAAGAAATCGCGTCTGAAGATGGGGAGAGGAGGAGCAAAAGACCCCCTTCCCTGTGCCTGCGAAAAACGCAGGATATCTTCGAGACGATCTACTTTGCGGCCTGCGAGGCCTCCTGCGAGATGGCTGCGGCGGAGGGGCCGTACGAGACCTTCCAGGGGTCCCCAGCGAGCCGAGGTTCCGCCGCGGCTTGGCAGGGAGGAGGAGGAGTCATGGAGGAGGCCAGGAGGAGGCTGGGAAGGAGGTTGCGGAGGAGGCTGCTGAGGACGAGAATGTGGAGGAGGAGGAGGAGGAGGAGGAGGAAGTGAAAGAGGTGGAGGAGGAGGAAGAGGAGGAGGAGGAGGCTGCTACTGAGAAGGGGAGGAGGAGGAGGAGGAGGAGGGAGGAGGAGGAGGAGGAGGAGGAGGAGGAGGAGGAGGAGGAGGAGGATGGGCAGGTCAGCAGGAAGATGGGAAGGCCAGCAGGAGGAGGGGGAGGCCAGGATGAAGAGAGGGAGGAGGAGGACGAGGAGGGGAGGAGGAGGAGGAGAGGAGGAGGAGGAGGAGGAGGGAGGAGGGGGCTTTCTGAGGAGGGAGGGAGGAGGAGGACGACGAGGAGGACGAGGAGGACGACGAGAGGAGGACGAGGAGGAGGAGGAGGACGAGGAGGAGGAGGAGGTGGAGGAGGAGGAGGAGGCCAATGGGAGTGGAGGCCCGCAGGAGAAGGGGGGCCAGCAGGGGGGGGGAGGCCAGGGGAGGAGGAGGGAGGCAGGAGGAGGAGGAGGAGGAGGAGGAGTCTGAGGAGGAGGATGCCAGGAGGAGGGGGGGCCAGGAGGAGGGGGGGGAAGGGGGAAGGGGAGGAAGGAGGAGGGGAGGAGGAGGAGTGGAGGAAGAGGACGAGGAGGAGGAGGAGGAGGAGGAGGAGGAGAGGAGGAGGAGGAGAAGGAGGAGGGGGAGGAGGCCGAGGCTTGGTTGGGAGCCGGCGCGCCCTTCCTTGGGAGCAACCGTTGCCGGGCCCAGGCCCGAGCAGCGGTCGCTCCCGTGGGGAGGGGTTGCGCCAGCAGGGGTTTCTCGCTGCGCTGCCCGGGAACATCAGGGCGAGTGCGAGGAAGATGTAGTGGCTGGCCGTGGGCCCGCCGCCAGCAACCGCCGCGCTTGGCCCGGCCCGGCCAGCCTCCATTGCTTAGCAGCGGTGCCACGCCCTCCTGGCCGCACTTGTGCGCTCCACCACGTTCTTGCACAAGCTAGGCTGAGGGCGGGCGAGCGCGACGCGCTTTCGAAAACCACAGTGGAAGCACTCCAGCACTGGCAGAAAACGTTATTTAACAAGATATGTTGCTTGCTTTGTTGTTTGTTTTGTGCTTTGTTCTAAACGCGTTTTGCTTTTGTTTCCAACAGTGCGTAAACCAGTGGCTGACGCTTGGGCATGCCTAGCGTTTTGTCCTCAGGATCCAGCACTGAGCGAAGGGGGGGCGCGGCGCGAACTCAGCAGCCTCCTCGAGGTCCTGGCGGACACTCTCGGTCAGGCCTCGAGGGGGGAGCCTCAGCTTCCAAGAGGACGGTCTTCTCAGAGGGTCGCATCCCATCAACAGCCCATTCGCTATGCTGGACCTTCCTCGTCACCTCAGCGTGGGTGGCAGCAAAGGACGGCCACGCCTTGGCGCGAGCATCAGGCCACACCTCATGATTGCACATAAGCCGCGTATGCACGAGGGTGAACGCGAACTGCAACTTAGGTAGAAGAGGGATGCTGGGGCCCTTGGCGCGCTCTTGGTGAGGGGGCGGAGGGCGCTCCAAACAGATCGTCTCCAAGCCGCCACCTCGGAACCGAGGTCCCCCAGCGCTTCCACAACCGTTCCTCCTCCCTCCTCTCTCCTCCTGCCTCCGCCCTCATCTCCACGCCGCGCGCGTTACACAGGCCACCAGAGGGGGCCCCAGAGGTCCCCGAAGGTTTTCGGGGGTGGAGCCCTCTCGCGGTCTCCAGAAGGCCCCTCTGAGGCCCAGCGACACAGTGCCCCAAGGCGAGCAGACGCGCCGATCCGCCCCGAGCCTCGATCCTTGACGGCGACGACGACGACGAGGCCGCAGGCAGCAGGCAGCAGGGAGCGGGCGGCGGGCAGCAGGCAGCAGGCAGCAGGCGGCGGGCGGCGGGCGGCGGGCGGCGGGCGGGCGGCGAGGGGTGGCGCCGGCGCCCCGCTCGGCCAGGGATCCTGCAGTTCGACATGTGGGGCCGCGAGCCCAAGAGCGGGCGCCTCGGGCCGCTTCGCCGCCGTGCCCTGCTCGGGCTCCCTCGGGGGAGCCTCCCCTCCCCGTCGTCGTTCCTTCCTTCCTTCCTTCCTTCCTTCCTTCCGTCCTTCCTTCCTTCCTTCCTTCCTTCCTTCCTTCCTTCCTTCCTTCCTTCCTTCCTTCCGTCGTCGTCGTAATCGTCGTCGTCGCCGCCGCCGACGCCGCCGTCGCCGTCGCCGTCGTCCCCTTGGGCCATGCTGGATTCCCGTGTGCCGTGCTGGGGGCCATCTTGGAGCTCTCTTGGGTCATCTTGGTCGCTAGCCCCTTGCCCGCCCCGCCTCCGCCCAGACCGCGGGGAGGGGTGCCCCCCTCCCCGGAGGGGAAGACGGGTGCTTGAAACACTGACTCGCCACGCCTCCTGCGCCCAGGGGGCTCTTGGGAGCAGCCCCACCTCCCAAACCTCTTGGTGCCCAACAGCTTGCCCGAGGGGCCCCCCGCGGGGCTCTCTTCGGCTGCTCTTCCGGCCCACTGCTATGGCAGTGACGGGGCCCTTCTGGGCCCGTCTCAAGGGTTCTCTTTTGAACCAGTCTGGTTTCGGATGCCCCTCGCGGCAGGGCGGCCAGTCAGAACCTAATCGAAGCAACTTGTGTGAATGAGTATGGCCTCTGGCACGCGTTCTTTCTTGGCAGGCGTCGTGGCCACCTCGAGCTATGTTGGGACTGCCGCGAGGCCTCTTCGAGCCATGCTGGGGACCAACTTGAGCCCTGTTTGCTTGGAGTCATTCTTATCTGAGGCCATCTTGGATGCTCCAACCCTTCGCGACCCCGGAATTCCCCTGCTTGTGGCGGGCCGGCCCGTCCCGGCGCCAAAGTCGTGGGACCAGCGCGCTCGTTGCCCCGTCCTCGTGGCATCTTTCGGACGTGTGCATGTGTCCTCGGCGAGGGCCCTCGAGGAGCATCTTGCATCATCTTGCTGACAAGCATGCGCACGAAACCGAGAACTACATGGGAAATGGACGTCCGAGCGATGGCAAGTCTTGGGTTGGGCAACTAGGTCACCCCCAGGGCCACGAAGACAAAAGCGCTTCGCGCATCGCGGGTTTGCGCAAGGAGCCTTAAGGATTCTCTAGGGATCCGCAGGAATTCTTGGGGATTTCTAGGGATTCCTAGGGATTCGGGCTTCCTCGAGAGTCCGAGGCTTGGGCTGGAGAACTGCCCCTCTCCGGGGGGCCGACGCGAGAGCGTGAGGGCTCGAAGATCATCCGCGCGCCGCGGGGGCGCGATGCGCCAGGTGACCTTAGACAGGCCGGGCAAGGCACGGCGGCGGCGGCGATGGCGGCGGCGGCCGCGGCGGCGACGGCCGCGGCGGCGGCTTCCGTCGGCGTCGGCACCCTCCGATGATGGGCCTGTTTTCCACCACCACCACCACCATAAGTTGGAGGGGGAGAGGGTCCTCCTCCTCCACCTCCTCCTTCTCCTCCACCTCGTCCTCCACGTCCTCCGCCTCCGCCTCCTCCTCCTCCTCCTCCTCCAACTCACGGTGGTGGTGGTGGTGGTGGTGGTGGAAAACAGGCCCATCACTCCGAGAGTGGCCGTGCCGCACATGGCGCGCGACCGCGAGGCGGCCGCTGGGACTGGGCGGGACTCAAGGAGCGGATCGCGGCGCACGGCCTGCGGAACTCTTTGCTGGCCCGCCGCCCCGCCGCTGCCGCTCTCGATCGAGGATCCTCGCTCGAGGATCGAGGATCGGGGCTTTGGCTTCTTCTTTGTGTTTTGCATGCGGGGGGAAGCAACGAGGGTCTCCGCGGACCCTTGACCCCCAGAGGCTCGAGGAGCCCGCGCCGGAGTCTTGTCGATGAAGTGCTCGCCGTCGGCGGGGCGGGGGGGGGCAGTTTCGGGGGCCGGGAGCCGTCGAATCGGCACCGCCCCAGGGTGACCAGCTGGTGCCTCGGAAGAGGTCGCGAGGCCCTCGACCTCTTCCGAGGCTCAAGCTTGTCACCCTGGGGCTCTCGCCTCGAGAGGCCCAACACGATACGGCCCAGAGGCCCCGGAGGGCCCGGCGAGGCCTCCGACCGAGGCCCAGGACGCCTTTCGCGAGGGGCCTCGCGAGGGCTGCCACGGAGTTGCGCTGAGCCCCCTGCCGGGGCTCTGCAGAGCTTCGCGGGGCGTCTCTCGGGGCCGGCCTCGGGCTCCCAAGGCGCGGAGCCGCGCAGAGCCGGCCTCCGTGGGCTTCTGCCCGCCCGGGGGTCCTCCTGCGGCCTGCGGGGCCGTCTCCGTGAGCCCCTCGATCGTGCACCTCCTCGTGGCCCCCGGGGGGGCCGCAAGGGCACCTGATGACCTCCGAGAGGCCTCGGGGGTCGCTGGAGGGTCCTGCGAGGGCTCCAGCGGCTGCGCAGACGGGCTCTCGCGAAGAAGCTGGGTTGAGCCGTCTGGGCTGGTCTTCAGGCCGTCTTGGTGCCCTCTTGTGCCGTCTCGCGGGGTTCTCGGGCCGACCTGGGGCCGTCATGGGCTTGCTTGTTTCTGTCCGGCATTCTGACGCATTCCAGGGGCCATCCTGAGACGACGCGTTTGTCGGACAGTCGGAGATGCAGCCCGTGGAACCGTCGTGCGGGCCAGGGGTGGGTGGCCCGGCCAAACAAGTACAGCCAGTTGCAGGTCCAGGATGAATGTTAATCGTTCCAGAGTGTTGTACAACACAGCGTTTCGGAGCGCTCTGGAACGACCGCGGCGCCCGACAGATTCTCCAAAATTTGTGGGCATCATATACTGCCTATGCAATTACATCATTCCGTGTGTGTCCTCGTTTCGCCTTCGTCTTAACCAGTATGACCCCCAGATGCTCGTCGTCATCGGGCGACGTAGTTCACACGTGTACACTAATATTGTGAAGGCCTTAAAGCCAGTGCTGCCGACCCTGAAGAGCCACGACGACGACGACGAGGGTCAACAATGTGATTAGCTTCCAGGGGTCATAACTTGATCAGCGCATGGTTCACAGTGCCGGGGTGGGAGCGTAGAGCGAGAGGTGATTTAGCCCAGACATTGTCGGGTGGGAGTTTCCGACACCAGTACGACTCAGTCTATCACCCTTCCACAATCCCCGCAGCCTCCTCCCCTCTCTGCCTCTTCCCCTCCGTTCCTCGCTCCCTTACCCTCCCCCTTCCGCCCTCCTTCATGTTCACTCGCTCCCTACTATCTCCCCTCGCCCCTGGTCCCCCGTCCATCCCCCCTATCCCCATCCTCCCTCCCTCCCTCTCCCTCTACCTTCTCGGGAGGGGGCGGAGGGAGGAGGAGGATGAGGAGGAGGAGGAGGAGGAAAACCAGTGTAAACCAAACAGGCACCAACGATGTTGGAATAAACCCTCCAAGCTCCCTCTTCATAGGCCTCTACAACGGTTCAATTCCACTGAGGGAACTGCCGTTGGAAGACAACCGTTTGAAGACACTGAAGCATACCAAAACATTGTTCTCGGGATCCCAACGCCACGGATCAACCTGGCTGTCGCGTCTTGACGATCCTGAGTCGTACCAGAACGCCATTCCTGGGGCTTCAACACCGCGGGCCAACGTAACTGTTGCACCATCATCGTACGTCATGGGGACCCGTGAAACTCTTGCATTCTTTTCTTGAAGAGTTTCCAAACGAATGCACGCGGCGCTAAGGCGGGGGCCACGGTTTGAAACGGCCCGCCTTCAATCCGCGAAATTATGGCAATTCGTTTTAAAACGAATGTGCGCGGCGCTAAAGCGAGCGCCACATTTTGAAAACGGCCCGCCGTCAGTCCGTGAAACTCTTGCAAATGTTTAAAACGAATGTGCGCGGCGCTAAGGCGAGATCCACGTTTTGAAAACGAACCGTCCTCCATCTGAGAAGCTGTTGCCAAATTTTCAGCTTCAGGGCCATAAACGGTGAGGAAGTCTCAGCCGAAACGCCAGGCCCGCCCTAAAAACTGGCCTCGGCCTGCGACAGGGAGAAGTTATTAGAAGGAAAGGAATGGAGATGAGGAGGAGGAGGAGGACGATGAGGAGGAGGAGGAGGAGGAGGAGGAGGAGGAGGGAGGATGGGGAGGAGGAGGAGGACGGGGGGCATGGGATGTCGCCCTGGCGTCTCTCAGACGTCGGTCGGCCACTGGTGGCGCTGATTGGGGACAGTTGGGACGGAAGGAGCAGGAGGAGAGAAATGTCGAGAAGCGGAGGAGAAAGGGGGAGGAGGAGAAGCAGGAGGTGAGGTGGATGATTTAGAGGGGGAGGAGGGAGAGAGAAAGTGAGAGTAGGAGACAGAGAGATAGAGAGGGGGGAAAAGCGAGAGAGAGAGAGGGGGGCAACTGGCCCAGGGGGAGCGGCCCAGCATCACACCAGAAGACTACCAGCGCAACGACGGCACTTCCGACTCCTGCAGTGGTTACGCCGACGACGTCAAGCGCCGACTAATTGAGCCCCTGGTGAGCTACGATTCACCATACGACACTTCACAAGTTTCACCTACCCTCTCATCAGCCAATAGAGGCATGCGCGATGGGGAGAGCGCACCTCCAGACCTGTACGAGCACGGCGACATGTGGGAAATCCACACACCGCCCAACATACCACAGCCTAGTAGTGGACCGTGGACCATCCCCTCGGCCTCTACCTCTCGCTTGGGGAGCGCGAGAAGGCTGTCTCACACAGACCCCACACTAGAACCACATACGCTAGCGGAACGACCAACCACTGCCACCCAACCTCGACGGCAGCATGTCGACTCACATCCTCCACCAGCGGAAGCCCAGTCACGGTCGATCCCGACGATGACGACGCCACCGCCCACGCCTAGAGAGGATGCATCGCTTTGTGAGGACGACACAGGAGGGGGGCAAGAACGACCAGAGACACCAACAAGGCATCGACGCACTAGCCATTTTGGCCAAGATGGCGATCGAGACCGACAATTTTGTGACTCACCGAGCCGGCCATGTACATCAATTCCCTGCCGGCAACAACCTCCCATTTTTGACTCCCTTGAAGTTGCCCAGATTCCACACGGACAGACCGACCTGCCGAACGCGGAGAGCCACGAGGCAGTACGGCATGTTCGATTCTCGCGCGAGGTCCATACCCGCGACCAGCAGACCGACAATATCCTCTACCACATCGACTTCGACGAGCAGGAGCCCTTACTCCAGCACCTTCGACGACTTCAGGCTCCCAGGCTGACCTTTAAATTTACCGACCGATGCCACAACGAGGTTTCAGACTACATGATGCGAACATTCCCATACCGACAGCTCCTACGAGATTCTCGCCTGCACTTATATACCGACGGCTCCAAACACCCACGCCAACATGGTCAAGACGGATGGTCAGTTGTACTCGTCGGTGAAGACGAAGAAGGCTTCTCTTTTCAAGGCGCAATAGTCGGCAAGCACCGCGACTCCACCCTCGGGGAGATCCAAAACCTCACGGACAACGAGACCACCTCGACATCCAGCGAGATCACAGCGCTCATCTGGGCGCTCGCCTACATCATCCACAAGGACATCAACCACAGGATATCGGTCCACTCCGACTCGCTGGGAGCGATCCAACTGGCCAGGATGGAGGCCTTTACCAACCGAGACGCCCACCTCGTGCAGCTACTGGTGATCATGTACTCGCACGTCAAGGAATATGTCGACCTGTGTCACGTCCACGCCCATGAGATGAACCCCTGGAACGAAGTTGCCGACGCCGCAGCCAACTACGCCCGCATCGAGGACTACCCGCACCCACAACCTGAATGGGCTAACATACTCAACGCGTCCCCTCAGCGCTGCTGGGAATTCTTACTCGACGCCGACAACCACACCAAGGACGCTTACCCATCCTTTTCACCTGGGATGCTCAAGGCCCAACGCATCGACACCACGGCAACGACAGCTCACCTCTCGACACCAACCAAGTCCACGAAGACCTCGACCGAGATAGATGTCAACATCGCCACCTACAACATCCAGTCAGGGCGCGAACCTGGCCACGGCGCTCGACGACGCAAAGAAAAGATACACAAGCTTAGAAAGACAATGCTCAATCTGTACATGGAGGACCTCCACCTGATCGGCATCCAGGAAGCCCGCACGCCCTGGGGAGTTCGCAGCGGCAACGACATCACCAGCACGAGTGCGTACGCCTACCACGTCATATCAGGGGGGCACGATCAGTACAACCTCGGCTGCGAGCTCCACATACTCACCAGCAAGCCGTACGGAAAGGCAGGAGCCAAGGACCTCTACTTCCGCCCCGATCAGTTCACCGTCATCGAGCACAGCCCTCGGCATCTCGTAGTAAGGATAGAAGCCCCAGGATTTCGAAATACAGTCTGCGTCGCCCACGCACCACATTCTCGAGCTAAGCCACACGAAAAAGATACCTTCTGGGAGATGATCGAGTGCGCAACGTCTAACCACAATATCAACATCTTCCTCATCGATGCCAACGCTCGAACGGGCAGCTTATGCAGCCAGGCAATCGGCGATCAAGGCTTCAAGCAAAAGGAGGACGACAACGGCGAACGCTTCCACAGGGTCCTGCAAGGCAACTCTCTCATAGCCGCGAACACCTTCAAAAGCGGAGGCCAGGACCACTATACATGGGACTCAGGCAAAGACGTACACAGACTGGACTACATAGTGGTTGGCCACGAGCTTTTTGACTCAATCTCCTACACGTCCGTAATGTACGGTATCGACACAGAACACGACCACTCACAAAAGAACGACCACTTCCCTGTCAAGGCTAACCTCGCCTACACAGTCGAGACCACCTACCAGCACGGCACGCCCAAGCTCGACACCGCTAAGCTCGACTCCGAGACAGCCAAGAACGACTTTCAACGACGCCTGCAGCAGATCCAACATCCCCCCTGGGAGACCAACCTCAACGACCATACCAAGAGCATCGTCGATCAGATAAAGGACGCAGCCTACGCCAGCTTCAAGAAGCAGCATCATGCCCCCCGCAAGCCTTACATCACCGAGGCCTCCTACGCTCTTCTTCGATTCCGACGCACCCTCATCAAGACGATCCGCATCGTGAAAAGGAATGGCATTGGCTCCAAGAAGTCACGCAGACGGATCCGATACACCGCGCACCTCATTGCAAACCAGTCAGCATCAGCGTCCCCCGACGACGTCATCCACCTCATGGACATCCCTGGATACACTCAGCTGATGATCAAGACCATCCTCTTCATCAACCACACGGACCCCGACCATACCACGGCTCCACACCACGACGATACCGATGGCACGACCACTTTCACTACGAACCTTTTCGACTCATACTTGAGCTTCATCCAAGACACCGACCGCATTCTCAGAATCCGCCTCGACCTTGACCGCGACGCCCACCTCGAGAGCTTCTCCGACAACATGATATTATCAGCCGCAGGGAATGCCCCGCGGAAGGAATGGGCAAACGTGAGGGCCTTACTCACATACGGCGGCCGAACACCTAAGAGAACTCCGACTCCCAAAATACGCCAAGACGATGACGGAGCTCCACTCACGACGCCACAAGCCATTGCGGAGCATGCCCTTCGATACTACGGCAACATCGAGAATGGCATCAACACCGACATCGAAGGCGTCGTCAAGCACTACAACAACAAGACAGCACACACAAAGCCGATACCCCACATCAACAACGTCCAGACCATCCACAACCTGACAGCCGCCCTGGCAGCCTCCAAGAAAGGCAAACGCGGCGGGCCCGACGGGAACACCGACGACATGGCACGAGCAGCACCGCGCCAGATTGCCCGACTCCTGCACCCCATCATGATGAAGATGCAGCTGATGACGACGGAGCCCATCTCGGCGAAGGGCGGATTCTCCACCCACTTCTCTAAAGGACAAGGACAGCTTCATTTGCAGAAAGCCTACAGGGGCATCCTACTGAACAACACGATTGGCAAGATCAACAGCAAGTTCCTGAGAGGCCTCTTCCGCGACATCTTACCCGACCTGCTCATGGACACACAATGCGGCGCCGTCCCTCACAAGGCGACTGACTTCATCACCCACACCGCCTATACCTTCCTGGACGACTGCCGTGCACAGGCTCGCACGGGCAGCATCCTCTTCCTGGACTTGAGAGAAGCCTTTCATTCGGTGATAAGGGAGTTCATGTTCCAGCTGCCGACTCAGGAGGACGAGCTCGAAGACGTCATCGACAACATCGAGATTCCCATATGCCTCCTCCCCTCCCTACGACAACGGCTTCGCTGCCCAGCACATCTCAACGCCCACGTCGACGACTCCCACCTATGCGCCCTCGTTGCCGACCACCACACGGCCAACTGGATGACCGCCAAGGGCACCGACGCATACGTGATCCCACGCACCAGTACCAGGCCAGGGGTGCCATACTCAGACGCGGCTTTCAACATGCATTTCGCCCTAGTGCTTCAGGCCATCGCCGACGACGCTGAAGAGGCAGAAGACGGTGAGAGTGGCCACCACATCCGCCCATGCGACAACCCGCTCTTCTCTACGGCCCCGCATCAAGGCGGCAAGCTGACTAACATGTCCTTCGTCGACGACCTCACCGACTTCAACTCGACCACCAGCCACTCCGACATCATTGACATTACGAAAACTTCAGCCGAACGTCTATGCCGTATAGCCTTTACCTACGGGCTCAAGCCACACCCAGACAAGACCAAGGTCATTATCTCCTTCAACGGGACGGGCTCCAACGTCGCACGCAGCAGGCTTGCACAGCAGAACATTACGTCAATCCAGCTGAGCATCATGTCGATCTCGGTCCAGATCACTGACCAGCACCGACTCTTAGGCACTATCCTAACCAACGGCAGCATGGGACCCGAGGTACAGAATCGCATGCGACGAACCGAAGCTTCGGCACGAGCTCTTGAGAGGCAAATCCTGAGACGTCGACACCTACCCCGCAAAACGAAGATCAAGTACGTGCACGCCCTCTCGACCGCCTCATTGACCTTCAACCATCACGTCTGGCCAGCACTGACCCAGACCGACCACCAGCGCATCTCCAACGCCTACTCGAAGCCCTACCGCACGGCAGCCGGACTACCCAAGACGAACTCGCACCTTCATCATTTCACGGCCACCGAAGTAGTAGCTTACACAGGCATCCCCGACTTCGACCACCACCAGTCTGCTGGACGGTTGCGATACTTACCACGGCTTCTACGACACGCTCCTCAACAGCTCCTCCAACTGCTTGACAACCAGCGACGGAGAAAGGGCTCATGGACATACATGCTTTTCCAGGACTTCGACTTCCTGCGCACATACCTGGACGACCAGCGCTGGCCCACGACAAGCAAGCTCGACCCAGACGTGTTTTCATGGGCTCGCACCACGCCGAAGCACTTCACCAACTCCGTCAACCTGGCCGTCACAAACTACATCCGCGTCTCTAAAGACCACGCCCACGCCGACAAGCTTACGAAGGTGCTCAGACCCGACGGCCCCACTGGTGCGGACACTACGCCATCACGCGACAACGGCGCCTGCAACTTCATCTGCTACGAGTGCGGAATTGTAACCAAGACAAAGCAGGGCATGGCAATACACATCGGACGTGAACACCGACGACCTGATCATCCGCGAAACTGGGCATCGGGTACATCGTGCAGAATATGCCGCCAGAACTTCCACTCCTTCGCCAAGCTAGTGAAGCATCTAACCACGGTAGCCCGCTGCCGACGGTCATGGCACATGTGGTACTTACAGGGACCTGCCATCACGGAGGAGGAAGTGGCCGCCAACCAGGCGATCTACGCGACCAGCATAGCCGACAACAAACGCAGAGGACGCCCCGAACTATACCACCATATCCCAGCCCATGCATCCGACGTCACTCCCTTACCATCCCTTGACCTATCACCTTCACCACCGCCATTCTTCCCGACTGTACCAGAGCTCACACCACCACCACCAGCCCACCACCCTCGAACACCGACCAGAAACAAATCTATTTATTACCTCACCAACACAGAGAGACACCCTAACGATCTGCTCGACATCACGGACCAACGACTATGCTATAAGGGAATGGTGATGGAACGAGTTATCATGACCTTCGATGATCTTTACTCTCTCGACCACCCATCTCAGCACGACGCCCTCGACTCGATCCACCAGCACATTCGACAAGGCGACTTCGCGGGAGTGATGATCAACCTCTCGCCAAGAACGTGGATCGACCTAGGCGACGGCGACCAGCACGACAGAAAAGCAGCATCTTCAAGGACAACCACGGACCCCTGGGGCAGAGTAAGCCTTGGAGGCGAGGCAGCCGAACGACGACTGATCGCGAACCACCATGCCCGCATCGCCATCCACACCTTCCACGCGGCTCACGTCGCCGAGGTACCAGTACTACTGGCGCAATCTGCAGCCCCAGCAGGTCCATCCCTGTTTTGGAACACTGAGATGATGCTCTACGCGACGGAGAGTCTCACCACGAGAAGACCTACCGCGCTAGACGTCACCAGCAGCATCTATGCAATACACTACGGCCTCTCCCAGGAGCACGGCAACTCACTCGACGATTTCGTCGACTCCACTGTGGACCACCAACCACATCATGGAGACCTCCAACCACAACATCAGGGAGACCGCCAACCACATCGTGAACGCCCCCTCTATGGAGAGGGGGGAGAGGACACGGTCCAGGCCTGACCTGGGCCGCCGCCCGCGGGCAGGTCATCATGGGGGTGGCTTTCCTTACTCCTCAGGCCTTTAATGAGCCCCCTCCCACCTATCCACTTTGCCACCCCCATGTGGCCACTCCCCTCTCCTCTTTAGCGTCTTCCTCCTCCCCCTCCCTGAAACTCCTGGGAGTCTCCTGGGCCCTCTCCTGGGCCTTTCTTTTTTCGCCCTTTTTGGCCCCCGCCCCCTCCCTCGCGGAGCCTAGATGGCTCCTTCCCTGGGCATCCTGGCGGGGGTCTGTGTAGGGGGAGGTGGTCCCCCCAGCGCGCCTTCGGCGCACGCGCGGGCCCGCCCGCGCGGACGGCTGCGTCCCGCGAGGACATTGAGCCGCGAGCGAAGCGAAGCGAAGGAGGAGGATCCTTTCTCGCGTGCTCACCCTCCCGGTGTCTCTCCCTCTGCCGGGCCTGGGGCGCTCGGCGCGGGCAGCCGGTGAGCTCTCGGCTGGGGCCGGGCTCTCGGATGGGCCCCTTCTGCCGCGGGGGACGCCCCGCCAGCGACCATGAAGTCAAGCAGCGCCATGCCTGCACCGCCGAGGATGTTCACAACGAGAGGGCCCCCCCCCGCTTCTCCGCGGGGCAACCGTTGGGCTCTCGGCTGGGGTCGGGCTTTCGGATGGGCCCCTCCTCCTACTGCGGGGGGATGCCCCGCCAGCGGCCACGAAGCCTAGCAGTGCCATGCTTGCACCTCTGGAGGTCGGAAAGGGGTATGGCATAAATGGGTGTGGTGCCAATCGTGGAAATCGAAATGCTGCCTAGGATAGATGGCATCGCCAGACTCAACATTGGCACAATACCCCTTGATGCCGCACCCCCTTCCTACCTCCAGAGCACCGCCGATGATGTTCGCGGTGAGAGGCCCCCCCCCCGCTTCTCCGCGTGCCGCAGGTTGCGCCGATGCCCACCGCCAGCACCGCCCAGATCCTGGGAAACAACGAGTCGTTCGAGCCGTGCCCTCCCCAGCAGCCTCCCCTCCTTATCCGCATTCCACTCCTCCTCCTCCTCCTCCTCCTCCTCCTCCTCCTCCTCCCCCTCCTCCTCCCCCCTTTTCCTCCGTTTCCTCCCCATCTCTGTCAGATCCTCCCCATCTCATTTGTCCTGTCACATCGTATCCTCCTAATTTCCTCTGTTCCCTATTATCCGTCCTGCCTTCCTCTCTTTTCTTCTCTCTTGTTCCCTCTCGTCTGCTCTCCTCTCCTGTCTTTCTCAGACTTCTCCGCCTGTTCCTTTACCCTGCCTCCTCCTTTTGGCCTTCGGGAGCCCCCCTCGTCGCCACTTCTGGGGGGCGGCTGGGAACACTCGTCGGGATGGTACTCGGGAGGGTCTGGGGACCGGCTTTGAGCGCATTCTTCCAAGACGGAGGGCAGACCTCCGTTTTGGAGGTGTCCCTATCCCGTCCCTTTGCTGGGTGGGTGTTTCACTCCTTTGCGGAGCCGACAAACGAGGACGACGAGGACGACGACCACGACCACGACCACGAGGACCACGAGGACCACGAGGACGACGACGACGACGACGGTGACGACGATGACATGTCCCGCTCGCCCGCCCGATCGATTCGCCCACCACCACGACGACGAGTCCCACCCGACCGACTCGCCGACGACGACGACAAACTCGTCGTCCTCGCCCTCGTCGTCCTCGTCGTCCTCGTCCTCGTCGTCCTCGTCGTCGTCGTCCTCGTCGTCGTCGGCCGAGCGGTGGCGCGCCAGAGGAGGCCGAGGGCGCCGGCCTCTCGCTGCAGGCCCGCGGGGCCCGCGAGCCCTCCGCGGCACCTCCTCTCCCAGGCGATCGCAAGCATGGCTTCGGGGGGCGCGGATCTCAGCGACGGATCCCGTTTTCCCATCGGGGAATTCGCCGGCTCCCGCCGCCGAACTGGGCGGCACCCCGGCCGCATGTCGGGGAGGAGGCCTCCCCCGATCCACGGATGCGGCGGCCGCGCGCCAGGCCCGTGGATCGCGGATCCAGCCTGCGCGCCCCCGATCCTCCCCGGAGGACGTGCTTTTTTCAGCGCGCGGCCCCCGGAAGGCTCGACCCATTTTCCCCGGGGCCGGCTTTTCGTTCTGGGCCGTTTCTGGACGGTCCCGAGGCCCGGCGAGGGCCCCCGGGGGCCGAAGCTGGCGAAAGACCTCCGTCGTGATGCCTTCCCTGCATTGGCTCTTTGGGCCTCCTCCTTCCGCTCGCAGGCCGCGGCACCGCGAGGGCGCCCGCGGCCCGCGGGGGCGCCGGGCGGCCCGCGGGAGCCGGCCGCGGCCTGCCGCCAGGGCGCCCCGGTGGCCGCCGGAGCCTCGCTTTGCGCCGCTGTCGGGGGCCGCCCGTCGCTGTCGGGGGCAACCAGTCAGGCAGTGGCGAAGCGTCCCGGCTCGCCTAAAGCCTATAGATAGCCTATAGCCCTACCAAGCAATGTGCTAAGAGCCTTCTGTGGTTTCCACGACATGTTCCTAGAGCATTTCTTTCGGAGTCTGTCTCGTTTTGACACATCGGGGTTATGCTCTAAGAACATTGTTTGTGTTCTTAGAGCATCTTTGGGTTCTAAGACCATGTCATGGTATGACTATAGGAATGCCGGGACGGTCGGTTCCTGCTCAAACGAGGGGGGGTGCGCCCGTTGGTTCAGGCGATCGCAAGCATGGATCAAGGACGACGTCTTTGTTGCTCTCGTGTGTCTCCAGGAGGCTCCTCGTGGCCGCGGCCGGCTCCGCCCCCAAATCCTGGTCGGGAAGCTCTCCAGGACAAGGTCGGGGGATCGACGTTTGAGGGCGGAGGAGGAGAAGCAGGCGATCGCAAACATGGATGAAGGGGGCGTGGATTAGCGACGGGTCCCGTTTCCATGGGAAATCGCGGGTTTCCGCCGCCGAGCGAGGCGGCACAGGTCGCATTTGGGGGAGGGCACCTCCCCCCATCCATGGATTTGGCGACCGCCCGTCAAGCAGTGGCGAAGCGTCTCGGCTCGCCTAGTTATAGGCCTATCAACAATGTTCTAAGAACCTTCTGTTCTATGGTCTCCACGAAGTGTTCTTAGAATATGTTTGGCCGGGGCCGTCTTGTTTTAACACCTCGGGCTCATGTTCTAAGAGCGTTGTGTTTGTTCTTGGAACACTTCTGGGTTCTAAGATCATGTCGTGGTAGGCCTAAAGGAATGCCGGGACGGTCGGTCCCTGCTCAAGTCGGGGGCAACGATTGGGGGGGGCAGGGACACCCTCTGGTTCTCGGCGGTTTTGCGGGCTTTCTCGGGCGTCCTCGGCGGTTCATCGGCGGTCTGTCGGAGCCTCCCTCTCTGCGGTGCTCGGCGGTTCTCGGCCGCCGGAGCCTCGCCTGTCGCCGTCAGGCCCCGACGCGCGGGGGGGGGGGCGGCGGGCGAGGCGCGGGGAGGGGGGCAGGGAGCCAAGACGTGGCTGAAGTCACCTGGCGAGTCAGGAGCGAGGCTGGCGGGGAAGAGGCGCGGTCGAAGTCCCGACGAAGGCGGGTCCAAGTCCCTGCTGTGGCGGGGCCGCGGCGGCGTCACAGAGGCTCCCAAGAAGGCTCACCCACTCGGGGGCAAGGATGGGGGGGGGGAGAGGGGAGGGGCACCCGTGGGTTCTCGGCGGCTCCTCGGGCGTGTTCGGCGGTTCTGGGCGGTTTGTCGGCCTCGGGGTGCGTTCCAGCAGCTGCCTTCTCGCCGAGAGCAGCCCAGGGGCGCCAGGATCGTCCCGAGCGGCCGCTGGAGGGCCGAGTTGTGGCCCGAAAGCCAGTGGGCAACGAGAGAGGGGATACGGTCAAAAACTCCATCAAGGACGCGCGATTTTGCTCTGGGTACCCTTGCGTCCTTGCTCTTCCTTGCTCTTGCGTCCTTGAGGTTTTCGTCGTCCGCCGCCCCAAAAATCCCAACTTCGGCCTCCAAGGGTCTTGCGTCCTTGCCGCGCGTCCTTATCAGGGTTTTTGACTGTAGCACCGTGATGACCCTCTGGCGCCACCCGCCTCTGCCCAGCTCCCTCACGGCAGCCTGCGCGCGCCCGCAACCTCGGTCGCGGTTGGCAGCCGTTGGCCACCGCCCCCCCGCGTCCTCCTCGTCATCGTCGTGCTCCTCCCCATTCGGGTGACCCCAGGTAAGGGGACCCGGTTAGTGGTAGGGCCCCGGGGCCCCTGAAACTGGCCAGAACCGCTAAACCAGGTCTGCCGCAGCTGGTGCTTTTTCGGGTGACGGCAGTTCCGGTTAGTGGAGATGGGACGGGGGGGCGCCCCCGGTACAAATCATTAAACCAGGTCCCACTAAACCCAGTTCTGCCAACGCCCGGCCATCCTCGTCTTCGCTCCCTCTCCTCGGGACGATCGAAATGGATATGAAACTTGTGCTCCGAGGAAGGATACAGGCGGCCCGGATTAGTAGGTCGACCCTGCCAGCTCAAGGGTATTTTTGTGTCCTGTGCCTCGCGACACGTGCCTTCTTACTTTCCTATGGCAATTCGGCCCTCGGAAGGGTCTTGTGTCCTCTCGCGTGTCCTGTCCAATCGAGTCCGACTGTGCTCCGAGGAAGGGTACTTAGACTCCTTCCTCGTCGTCCTCTCCTTCCTCGCCCTCCCCGCTCCCCCCCGTTCTCTGGCTGCCGCCCAGCGCAGGTACACGCAGAACCTCTACGTCCGGAGGGTGTTGTCGGGCGAGTTCGTGTCGGCGACACTCGGCTCCCGCCGTGCGCCTCTGGACCTCGAGCGTGACAAGGAATGAGGGCAGGTCGGGGGCGGCAAAGAGGGGGGCGATGGCCAGGGGGGGTGGATATCATGGCGAGGGCCATGATATCTCCCCATGTTTCATGGCGCCTCTCCTCATTTCAATACGTCCCTGGCCCCCCCCCCTGGGCCGCACACATGGCGCCGGCCATGATTTGTGCCCCCCCCTCTTGGACGCCCCCCTCTCGGCCGGCAAGGAGCAGGGGGCGGGGGAGAGGAGGCGGGGATCGGGCAGGCGATCGCAAACATGGATTAAGGGGGCGTGGATTAGCGACGGGTCCCGTTTCCGCGGGAAATCGCGCATCTCAGCCGCCGAAGGAGGCGGCACTGGCCGCGTTTTGGGGGAGGGCACCTCCCCCGATCCATGGATTTGGCGACCGCGCGCCTAATCGTAAATCGGGCCTGTCCCTCTACAGGGGGGAAATCCAAAGATAGTCAAAAGATAGTCGGGGGACTATTTGTTTAATATATGTTTGACCATTTTGGCGTATTTTTTTAGTACTTGTTATTTTCCGTCGAAAATCCCCCTGTAGGGGGGACACGCCCGACTTAACCCTAATCCGTGGATCGCTGATCCATGTTTGCTGGAGTATAGCCAGGACCCCAGGTAAGGGGACCCGGTTAGTGGTAGGGCCCCGGAACCCCTAAAACTGGCCAGAAGCGCTGAACCAGGTCTGCCGCAGCTGGTGCTTCTTCGGGAGACGGCAGTTCCGGCTAGTGGAACGGGGCGGGGGGGCGTCCCCCAGTACACGTCACTAAACCAGGTTCCAGCAAACCCAGTTCTGCCAACGCCCGATGTGCGCGCCTCCTCCTCTTCCTTCTCCTCCCTCCTCCTCCTCCTCCTCCTCCTCCTCCTTCTCCTCCCTCCTCCTCCTCCTCCTCCTCCTCCTCCTCCTCCTCCTCCTCCTCCTCCTCCTCCTCATCCCCCTCCTCCTCCCCCCCGGATCGGGCAGGCCTGGAACGGGGATCGATCGCTCCCGAGCGTGCCGGGACGCTCTGTGACGGCCGTGGCGCCCGCGGCAGCCTCCAGACCCGCCGGCTCTCGGGGGTTCCCGATGCGACGGGCCTGTCTGCCACCACCGCCACCAGAGGTTGGAGGGGGAGGAAGAGAGGGAGGAGGAGGAGGAGGAGGAGGAGGAGGAGGAGAGGAGGAGGAGGAGGAGGAGGGAGGAGGGGAGGAGGAGGAGGGGGAGGAGGAGGAGGGGAGGAGGGGGAGGGGGAGTGAGGGGGGGAGGATGAGGAGGGGGAGGGGGGGAGGAGGAGGAGGAGGAGGAGGAGGAGGAGGAGGAGGAGGAGGAGGAGGAGGAGGAGGAGGAGGAGCCCCTCCCCCTCCAACTTATGGTGGTGGTGGTGGTGGAGAACAGGCCCATCAGGATGCATCTTCTCCCGATTTGATCCTCCAGAAAGGAAGAGGAGCAGGAGGCGGGGAGGATCGGACAAGTCGCGCCAGAAGGGTTTCCCTGATTTCGGCCTCCAGGGGCCCGTTTGGGGCCCTTGCGGCCGTTTGTAGTCGGCCCAGGACGGAAGAGCCAGTCGCGGGCCCAAGGCCCTTCTCTGATTGGATTTCAGGGCCTGGCGGAGGTGGCCCAGACTCCAGATCCGCCCTACTTTGGCTTTTTTTCCCACACAAAATTGCATCGGATATCCATCATGTTGGCTCCCAGAATACGAGTCAAACAAATGGTTTTTCTCACACGGTTCTCGGGGTGACACGTGCCACCTTTTGTGTCGTTTCGCATTGTATGGTTCCATGTTTGTTCCCAGAGTGCAGTTAAGCAAGTGATTTTTCTCACACGGTTTTTGGGGTGATGCGTGTCACCCTTGTATCGTTTCACATTGTATGACTCCATGGTGGCTCCCAGGATACAAGTGAATCAAGTGGTTTTTCTCTCACGGTTTTCGTGGTGGCACGTGTCACCATTGTGTCGTTCCACATTGCGTGGCTCCATGTTGGCTTCCAGAATCCAAGTGAAGCAATTGGTTTTTCTCACACGGTATTTGGGGTTACACGTGTCCCCTTGTTTTGTTTCACATTGTATGGCTCCATGTTGGCCCCCCAGAATGCACTTAAAACACATGTTTTTCCCACACGGCTTTCGGGTTAACACGTGCCACTTTTGCCTCCCGTTTCACATTGTGTGGGACCATGATGGTTCCCATACTACAGGTGAACCAATTGGTTTTCTCACACGGTGTTCGGTGTTACACGTGTCACCGCTGTTTCGTTTCACATTGTTTGTTTCCATTTTGGCTTCGGGAATACAAGTTGAGCACCTGGTTTTTCTCTCATGGTGTTTGGGGTGGCACGTGCCAACTTTGTGTCGTTCCACATTGCGTGGCTCCATGTTGGCTTCCAGAATCCAAGTGAAGCAATGGGTTTTTCTCACATGGTATTCGGGGTTACACGTATCACCCTCGTTTCGTTTCACATTGTATGGCTTTATGTTAGCCCCCAGAGTACAAGTGAAACAGATAGTTTTTCCCACACGGTTTTCGGGGTGACGCGTGTCACCCTTTTGCCGTTTCACACTGTATGGCCCCTTGGTGGATCCCAGGACACACATCAAACAAGTTGTTTTTTTTTCTCTCGAAGTTTTTCGGGTGACACGTGTCACCCTTGTGTCGTTTCACATTGTATGGGGCCATGTGTGTTGCTCCCATGATGCAAGTGAAACAATTTGTGTTTCTCACCAGATTGTGTGGTGACACGTGCCACCCTTGTGTCGTTTCACATTGCATGGCCCAATGTTGGCTCCCAGAATACAAGTGTAACAGTTGGTTGTTCTCTCACGGTTTTCGGGGTGGTACGTGCCACCCTTGTGTCGTTTCACGCTGTCTGGCTCCATGCTGGTCGCAGACTACAAGTGAAAACCATTCATTTTTCTTACACGGTTTCCGGGGTGACACGTGTCACGTTGTGTCGCGTTTCACACTGCATTGTCCCATGATTCCCACAAGTGGAACAATTAGTTATCTGAAATGGTTTTCGGGGTGACACGTGTCACCCTTGTGCCATTCCACATTGTATGGCCCCATATTGGTTCTTAGGATATCTGGTTCTTCTCACATGCTGTTCGGGTGACACGCGTCACCTCTGTGTCTTTCACATTGTATGTCCCCATGTTGGTTCCCAGAAGACAAGTGAAACAATTGGTTTTTCACTCACGGTTTTACGGGTGACACGTGTCACCTTTGTGTCGTTTCACATTGTATGGGACCATTTTGGCTCCCAGGTACAAGGGAAACAGTTGCTTCTTCTCACGCGGCTTTCAGGGTGCAAACGTGTCACCCTTGTGTCGCATGCCAATACGCCTGGTTTTTCTCACGAGGTTGGGTGACACGTGTCACCCTTGTGTCGTTTCACGTTGTATGGTTGTATGTTTGGCCCCCAGGCTACAAGTGACACATGTTTTGTTCTCTCACCGTTTTCGGAGTGACACGTGTCACCTTTGTGTCGTTTCACATTGTATGATGCATGTTCGACCCCCAGAATACAAGTGAAACAATTGTTTTTCTCCCACTGTTTTCGGGGTGACACGTGTCACCCTTTGTCGTTTCACATTGTACGGATCCATGTTGGCCCCCAGATTACAGACGAGTTTGATTAGTAGGTCGGCCCTGCCCAAACAAGGGTAATTACCCTTGTGTCCTGTGTTTCGCGACCTGTACCCTCTCCGTTCCACTGGCATTGTGGCCATCGGAAGAGTCTTGTGTCCTCTCGCGTGTCCTCTCCAATCCACTCCGGCTGCGCAAGTGAAACAATTTGCTTTTCTCACACGTTTCTGGGGTGTCAACTTTGTGTCGCTTCACATTGTATGCTTACATGTTGGCTCCCAGAATACAAGTGAAAACAACTGGTTTTTCTCACACGGTCTTCCAGGTGACATGTGTCACCCTCGTGACGTTTCACACTGTACGCTTCCAAGTTGGCTTCCGTGAAACAATTGGTTTTGCTCGCGCGGTTTCCGGGGTGACGCGTGGCACCCTTGTGTCGTTTCAAACTGTATGGCTCCATGTTAGCACTCAGAAAACAATCGAAACAATCTGTTTGTTTCACGCGGTTTTCGGTGTGACACGTGTCACCTTTGTGCCGTTCCACATTGTACGGCCCCAGATTGGTTCTTAGGATGTTTGGTTCTTCTCACACGTTGTTCGGGTGACACGTGCCACCTCTGTGTCTTTCACACTGTATGTCCCCATGTTGGTTCCCAGAAGACAAGTGAAACAGTTGGTTTTTCTTACGGTTTTCGGGGTGACACGTGTCACCTCTGTGTCGTTTCACATTGTATGGGACCATGTTGGCTCCCAGGTACAAGGGAAACAGTTGGTTCTTCTCACGCGGCTTTCAGGGTGCAAACGTGTCACCCTTGTGTCGCGTTTCGCATTGTATGTTTCCATTGTGGTTCCCAGTCAGAATACATGCCACTACGCCTGGTTTTTCTCACGCGGTCTTCCGGGTGACACGTGTCACCTTGGTTTTGTTTCTCGTTGTATGGTTGCATGTTTGGCCCCCAGACCACAGGTGAAACACATGTTTTATCTCACGGTTTTCGGGGTGACACGTGTCACTTTTGTGTCGTTTCACGTTGTATGGTTGCATGTTCGGCCCCCAGAATACAAGTGAAACAATTGTTATTCTCCCACGGTTTTCGGGGTGACACGTGTCACCTTTGTGTCGTTTCACATTGTACGGCTCCATGTTGGCTCCCAGATTACAGACGAGTTTCATTAGTAGGTCGGCCCTGTCCAAACAAGGGTACCCTTGTGTCCTGTGTTTCGCGACCTGTACCCTCTCCGTTCCACTGGCATTGTGGCCATCGGAAGAGTCTTGTGTCCTCTCGCGTGTCCTCTCCAATCCACTCCGGCTGCGCAAGTGAAACAATTTGCTTTTCTCACACGATTCTAGGGTGTCAACCTTATGTCGTTTCACATTGTATGCTTACA